ATGGACAGGGGAGATTGGAGAGCTACAGTCCATGGGTTGCAAAGAGTCAGATATGACTGAACGACCAACACTTTTTTCATGCAAGTAACATTTATCCTGTGGAACTTCATTGGACTTCCCTCTTCCACAGTGGAAGAAGCTTGCTTATATCTATCAAGCAAATTCATTTTAGCATTTTAGAATAGTGTTTTTCCATGCTTCTTAGGAGATAAGAAACCAGATATTACAACTAGAATTTAAATAGAATGAGACTTATAATAGGGTATCAGATTAAACCACTTGGTTTAGAGGAATGAATAAGCTGGGGTTATACCACTATTGTATACGTCAATCAACTCTCTTTTTTGTAACTAAAATACATGGCACATTCACATTCACACAGAAGACACATGTGTGCCAAGACACATGGAAAAAAATCTTCAAAGCAACAAAACATGGGAACAACCCTAACGCCCATCAATAAGAGAAAGGATAAACTCTGGAATATTTGCCAACAATGATACATGCTGCTGCTGCTGCTAAGTCAGGTCAGTCATGTCCGACTCTGTGCGACCCCATAGACGGCAGCCCACCAGGCTCTACCATGCCTGGGATTCTCCAGGTAAGAATACTGGAGCAGGTTGCCATTTCCTTCTCCAATGCATGAAAGTGAAAAGTGAAAGTGAAGTTGCTCAGTCGTGTCCAACTCTTCGCGACCCCGTGGACTGTGGCCTACCAGGCTTCTCCGTCCATGGATTTTCCAGGCAAGAGTACTGGAGTGGGGTGCCACTGCCTTCTTAGTTACATGCAACAACATGGATAATCCTTGAAAACTTAGTTTTGAGCTGTTTAAAAGTGAGGTTATAATATACATATATCCTTTTTAATAAATTAAAAAAAACACACACACAAAAAAGGGACTTCCTTGGTGGTCCAGTGGTTAAGAATCCTCCTTCCACTGTGGGGGCACAGGTTCGGTCTGTGGTCTAACGACCAAGATCCCGCATGCCAAGGGGAAACCAAGCCCGCTTGCCACAGTCACTGAGCCCGTGCTCCAGAGCCCGTGCGCTGCACCTAGAGAAAGACTTGAGTATCGCAATAAAGACCCAGCGCAGCCAAAAAAAACCCTTTCAACTACAGAAACAAAATAAAAGGTCCCTCCTAAAGAAATGCAAAATAAAAGATATGGTTTTAGAAAAACAAGCAAATGTTGACAAAATTGATTAGGAACATATACATGTCACAAAACTATTTTACAGTAAAATCAGGAAAGGTCAATACAAAATCCAGTGTAAGGATGGGTACAATGAATGTCATAGGAGAAGGGCATAAAGAAATATACAACAGGAGAGGTGGCAATCTAGTTCTCTTTTTCTAGCTTTCTGTTTAACAACTTTATTGAGGTATGGCTCGCCTATGACTATAGTACTATAATAGGTTTATAATACATATGCATCTTTGAAAGGTTGCAACTTGAAGGTTTGTATATAGGGGACTTACTGTAGAATTCACCCATCTGAAGTGTACCATCTGATGATATTCACAGCCATCACTAGAACCATCATTAGAACATTTTGCCAGCTCAAAAAGAAACCCTGTACCCTTCATTATCACCCCCACCCCCACCATCAACCCCCATACCAAAGAAACCACTAACCTACTGTCTCCATACACTGCCCTGTTGTGAACATTTCCATATGAATAGAACCATACAATGTGTGGTCTTTCAAGATTAAATTCTTTCACTTAGAATAATGGTGTCAAGGTACATGTAATCAATATTTCATTCTTTTTTATGGCCAAATAAAGTCCCATTGTATGGATATACCATATTTTATTTATCCATTCCTCAGTCTATGGACATCTCAGTTATTTTTAACTTGGTTGTTATGAATGGTGCTGGTGTAAACATTTATGTACAGGTTTTTTGTGCTGACATGTGCTTTCATTTTTCTTGGATATATATACTTAAGAGTGAAACTGCTGTTTCACATGGTAACACTGTTTAATTTTTGAAGAAGTGACCAATTGTTTTCCAAAGCAACTGTACAAGAGATATTTCTACCAGCAACATATAAGGGTGTCAAGGGTTCCAACTCCTTCATGTGCTCACCAACACTTATCCTAGTGGGTGTGAAGTGGTATCTCACTGTGGTTTTGATATGCATTTTCTGACAAATAATGATGTGGAGGTATCTTTTCACGTGCTTATGGCCATTTGCATATGTTCTTGGGAGAAATAGTCATTCAGATATCTTGACTATTTCTATATTGGGTTATTTTTATTATTGAGCTGTAAGAACTCTATATTTGGATACAAGTTCCTTATCAAATATAGAATTTTAAAATATTTTCTCCCATTCCATGGGTTATATTTTCACAATTATCTAGTGCATAAACCTTAGTTTTTAAAGCTGTGAAAGGGCTGCCATGTTAAGTAGCCTCAGTGGTGCCTGACTCTTTGAGACCCCATGGACTGGAGCCTGGCAGGCTCCTCCGTTCATGGGATTCTCCAGACAAGAATACTGGAGTTGCCATGCTGTCCTCCAGGGGATCTTCCTGATCCAGGGATCGAACCTGCATCTCTTAAGTCTCCTGCATTGGCAGGCGGGTTCTTCACCACTAGCACCACCTGGGAAGCCCGCGGTTTCCAGGGCTACAGGCAGTTATTTGAATATTATGTTTACAGTTTACATAAACTTACCCAATTATTTTTATGTATATCACATAATTGATGAATTAAAAAGGAAACTTCATACATAAAGATGTCTGTTAGGAAATACTCGACACAAAACGAAACACTGCAATGCCCCAAATAAGTTACTGCTACTCTTGAAGGCATTAACTTAACTCTTGGGTATCACTTAAGCCCCCCGCTTAATCTGGCCCATTGACGCTTTCGAAAGGTGCCTCTCCAGGTACTTCCCTGGAGGTCAGTGGTTAAGAGTTTGCCTTCCAATGCAGGGGGTGAGGGTTCAATCCCTGGTTAGGGAGCTAAGATCCCACATGCCTTGTGGCCAAAAAACCAAACCATAAAACAGAAGCAATATTGTAACAAATTCAATAAAGACTTTAAAAATTGTCCACATCAAAAAAACAAAGAAAAAAATCTTAAAAAAAAAAAAAAAACAGGTTCTCCTCCAAACTCTACACATGGTAGGGGGGAATAGTAAACTACTGCCAATGTGACAAACCTGCCCGTTTTCTCCAGCTGCTTTTGTGTCTCCCCATCTTCTCCCAAGCTAAAAATGAATTTTACATTTTTTACTGCCTGAAAAAAAGACTATTTCAGTACTATTTCAAGGACAGGGGAGCCTGGCAGATGCTACAGTCCACGGGGTCACAGAGTTGGATAACAAATTTCAATACTGATGAAAATTATATGAACTTTAAATTTCAGTGTTCATGAATAAAGTGAAATACAACCACATCATTTCTTTAGTCATTTTCTGTGGCTGGTTTTAAGCTACAACAGCACAGATGAGTAGTTACTAAAGAGACCACAGAGCCAAAAAAGCCTACATACAAGTTTACTATCCAGCCCTTTACTCCAAACGTTTGCCAAACTTTACCTTATATCAACAAGTTAAAATACTTTTCACTTCTACAATGAGCAGCAAAAACCTATTTCCTACTAGCCAATGACATTTACCTTCATGATTTCTCATAGTCAATTTTTTCCTCTTTAATTTTAATAAATATTTATGATCCCTCAGTTCTAATTTATTAGGGACTTTTAGATTTGGAGATCAAAGAGAAGTGTTTCCTTAAAAAATAATGTAGTATCTTCAAAAAGTCACAACCACACTCAAACTGTTGGGTTAATCATTTTAGCAAACTTTTACTGCCTGCTCATTACAGGCTGTGAGTCAAATACTGCTTGGTGCAGTAAAAACTGCTAAAACCCCCACCCTTGCCCTCAGGAGGCTTACAGTCTAACTGGACTTTAATAACTATAAGAACAATTTCCCCAAAGATCACTCCACAGCTGTAACCTTACATTAAACGGGCTTAGATATTTTGCCAAGAATTCTAAGCCTTGTTCTTTAAATAAAAAAAGTCTTATATAAGCAGTAAAGAAATAGTACTCTGCAAGCAATTCTGGTTAACTTCTGTGGTTTAAGTACCATAGACTTCTGCATTCCTCTGACTATGTAACCAGAGGTTCTTGATCTTTTCTGCTGTGTTCATCTCCGCTTTGGCTGTTTGGACCTAATTCTAGTTCAATAGCCACATTCATTCCTTTTAGAGAATGCAATAAATCAAGTATCGCTAAACTCTGCAGCCTATTTGTGATGTCCGACATCAATCACTCTGATGGCAATAAAGGCAAGGCTATTTGCATTTGTGATTATTAGTCCCCAAAGCGAAGATAACGAAGCTGCTTCCACCAAACCCCTCTACCCAAGGAAAGACCCAGTGGTGGCGAGGTGACCTCTTTGGAGCTGTCCCTCAATGCCTGAGTGGCCAGTGCATTTTTTTAAAAGCGACTCAAGACCTCAGGTCAGGTTCTGCAGAGAAGCCAGGTCCATTTCTTTCCAGCACTTCCTGGCTAGGATCAAATTCAGTCCAATTATAACTCCCCTCTCCCCAATACCCGGCACCCCCTGAGGCTCAGAGCAGAGGGGGCGAGCACCCCCAAAGTTAGACCCGCCTGGAGCGCGGCTGTGAGGCCTCGGCCACGGGTCCAGCGCCGAGCCCGCTCCACGCCCGCACCCGCCTTCCAGCCCGGCCTGCGCGGCGCGCACCGGGCAGGCGGCGGGGGCGGGGAGCGCCGCTGCGCTGACCCAGATGGGGTGTCCCCCTCACGCCCGCACCCACGCGTCCCGGCCCTGCACGCAGGCCCCGCGGCCGGCCGCTTCCCCCGCATGCGGGCCAGCAAGCGCCTTTATTCCCCGCGCGCCTCGGCCCGGGCCCCTCTGCACCCCACCCATGGAGCGCAACTTCCGAGCGCGGCCGCGGGGTGCTCCCCCCACTCCACCACGCGCCCCTCCCGGCCCGGCCCGGCAGCTCTGGATTACCTGCCCTCGGGTTCTGCGGTCCGGTGCTGGGCGATGCCAATCCGCGCTCGGCCACTCGCGCGCCCTCCTCCCCTTCTCCTCCTCCTCACCCCCCCAAGCAGGAGTCGGTGTCGGTCACGCTGCTCCCGGGGAGAGTGGCCGGCGGCTTCCGGGAGCTCCAAATACTGACTCGCCGAGAGGGAGAGAGAGGGAGAGGGGGGAAGGGAGGGGAGCCAAGCTCCGCCGTTAGGGAGTGGAAATAAAGGGGAGCGGAGGGGAGAGGGGGATGGAGGAGAGGAGGGGCAGATGGGCCGTGGGAGAAAAGAGCGAGAGGAGGAAGGCAGAGAGCGGCAGGCTCAGACAGGAATGAATTCGCTGCATCAGGCAGCCTTGCAAAGAAGTCTGGAAAGATCCGGGAGGCTCCTGGCTGCAGGAGCCAAAGATTGGATCCTCAAAGGCTTGTGCAGAAAAAGGATGGATCCTTTGGGGAGCTACAGACCGGCCAGTGTTCTCCCCAACCTCAGTAGAGGGATAAAGTTCCTGGCTGGAGAGGGAGGTAGAGAAGCAACACTTCAGCTAGACACCAGATGCATTCATATTTTGCAACAACATTTTAACAATGTATTTTAAAGTGTACTTTACATACAACATCTTTTTGTAAAAATTGCCTGATTGTTTAAGGATAAAAGTGCTGTGCTTAGTCGGTGCTACTCTTTGTGACCTCCTAAACTGTAGTCCACCAGGCTTCTCGGTCCGTGGGGATTCTACAAGCAAAAATACTGGAGTGGGTTGCCAAGCCCTCTGCCAGGGGAATCTTTCCTACCCAGGATGGAACGCAGGTCTCCCACATTGCAGGCAGATTCTTCACTGTCTGAGCCGCCAGGGAAGCCTGCTTCCTGGTACCCTAAACCAATTTACTTTTATTATATCTGTGGCCATTCCCCTTGGTATGTTGACTACAATTACAAAACTGGAGATTTTTACTTTTTTTGTAATGCTGTTAGAAAGAAAATATTGATTTTCAATTTTCATTAGTTTATTTCAATCTGAAAAAGTAGACTTGAAGCTCTTCATTGAATGAATGCTAGGAAAATAATTACAGAGAAGAAAGGAGGCGGGGTTGTATCGATATTTCTTAAAGCAAAATTTCTAAGCAAATACTAGCATGAGTGTCTAAAAAGCCAGTATTTTCTGTTGGTGTTAAAATTGCATGTAATTTGGTTCTGTGCATGACAAGGCTATTCTGACCCCAGAGGTCACAACTTAAGGTTTTTTCCTATCATACACTGTTCTTTGTCCAGCATTGGTGATGAGGGGTGCCTTCTTGCTCCCCTTTGTCTGGAAAGAAGGGAAACAGAATGACATTGTTTATGACATTGATCACATCGCTATGTGAATACATACATTACACATATCCAGGATCAGTGCTGTCCCTGCCATGCACATGCCTTGCATTTGACAGGTATTCAATACGTTTTTACTGAAGAATGAATGAACAGATGAATCTTTAAAAATATATATATATATATATATATATGTTCCAGGAGTACAAAAAATAATATATCCTTAAGAACCAATTTTTACAGGTTCACAGGAAACTTCCAAGCTTCCAGTTTAACATGACTTTTTTTCTCTCTAGCATTAACTTCAGCAAGCATTAATAGAGCATTTCTTTTGCCTAAGTGTATTTTGCACTGGAGTATAAAGTATTATGGAGTATAAAGGTGAATGAATGAGGCACAAATCCTCCCCTTGGATTTATAAGCTTGTAAGATGAAGAGAGTATAAAAGTAACCACAGTGTAAGGAAAACTTTAAAACAAGGCCCAAGAGAAGTATGAACAAAGTTTGTGGATATGCAGGGGAGGGAGGTTTCTTCTAGCTCTGGGAACCAGAGAATGCATTCTGGTGAAGTAAGAGTTGATCTTTCAAGCAGAAATAGGACAGTAAGAAAGGGCAGTGAGGGAAAGGGCACTCAAGACGAAAGGACGACAGGGACAAAAACGGAGAGGTGATGAAGGATGCGACATGTATGAAGGAGAGTCAGTGAACTCAGCTGAAAGCAGAGTTGTGGGACCCAGATCTGGGGAAAAAAGGATAGGCCCCAGCAGATGGAGACCTTCAATCTTAGCCTAAGTTCTCTGAACCCTAAGGGGCAGGCACTGGGGTATTACTGACAGTTTTGGACGAGAATCATGACACAGTTAATTTGGTGGTGTCATCCAGGACTGGAAAGAGATAGGAGACAGAGAAGTTTTCTAAGAAACAATTCACTAGTTTGAATGGGAAAGCAATGAGTCTTAACCTGGTGCCTGAATACCTCCCTTCACTAATTGCACCTGGTATAGCATGTGTCTGCTATGTGACGGATGCCTGCACGGGGGACCCCCCAGTGAACTCTTTCTCCTCACAGCTCTCTAACACTTACTGTCCATATTTTCCAACTAGATTAGAAAGTTCCAAGAAAGCAAGGATCATGTCTATTTAAAGGTTCAAGGCTATTTTCTCAAGCCTGACACTTAAAAAATCATTGAGTACATATTTATTGATACATTTTACAGAATTAGTTCTGAAGGTGGTAGAGTTGGAAAGAACAGGGAAGACACTGGGTTCTTCTAAATCTTTTTTGATCTTGAGATTCCAACCCAAACCCTTGCCTTTCTCCTTAACAGATGATCTTATTATCTGCTTTACAAGGAGGCTGGTGCCATGTTAACCTCTACACCCTTTCCTTATATTACATTTGAATTAAGGTCCCCTTCATTGCCTAAGCTAATAATATTCTTGTTTTATTCCACCTCTACATTGCATCTGAGACTCCTCCTCCCCACTGATTTTGTCTCTCTGGATAACATTCTGGTTGCTACCAGCCACGCTATACCAGAAAGCTGATAACATGACAAACACATGGGGAAGAGAGGAACCCATCACTGGAATGGTTCTGCTGTTCTACATTTCTTTATATAGTATAAAATGTTTAAACTGACAATTTTTTGTGAAGGGGCTTTGCTAGGATCTCCTACCCTCATGGCTGCTGATATACTGAGACCAGATTATAGTTCCTTTGCTATTTTACCTGAATCCCCTTCCCCGTTTTCCAGTAAGAGAACATACCAGTAAGTGGAAAACAGCTAATGAACACAGGGTTCTTTGGTTTTTTTTTTTAATGTTTAGTTTTTAATGCAGATTTTTAATGAGTGAATGGCCAAGGTTGCCTTTTTTTAAAAAAATATTTCTTTGGCTGCACCCACCAAGTCTTAGTGGCAGCAGTTGAGATCTTTCAGTTGCAACATGCAAACTCTTAGTTGTGGCTCATTGGATCTAGTTCCCTGAGCAGGGATCAAACCTTGAACCCTTGCATTGGGAGCACGGAGTCTTAGCCACTGGACCACTGGGGAAATCTTCACAGCTTTTTTGGAGCTTTTCCCAGCCCATGAGGAAGAAAGAATAATGATGACAGGTCTCCACAAACACTCCTTCTCAAGAGTTTTGAAAAAAACAAAAGAAAGAAAAAAAAAAAAAAGAAAAAAAAGAGTTTTGAAGAAAAAAACATTACCAATGTCCAATGAGACATTGCATTTCATTTTAATAACTCCCAAGTGGAAAGTTATCAATGGTAATTTACCAGCAGCTGATCCACACATTGTGGGTACTGAGAATATCACACTTTTAGCAAACAGAGCGTGATACTCATAGAGAAAAGTTAGCACTTACCATGTGAATTGTTTCTTCTCAAATAGGGAACCTGGGGAGTTCAGCTCTTACATCCTGACCCTCTGTTCTCCATTGGAAGCGTGTGTTCCAGAAGTCAAAGACTCTAAAGACAAATTTAAAATAGCCCAAACTTCTGCCATGCGAAGGTCTTCGGTAAAGGTTTCTATCTAACTCACTCCTGTCTGTCCTGACCCGGCGTCTGTGGGACTCCTTGACGGCTACGTTTTGTGGTCTGGTCGTTCCCTGGTGTGCAGGAGTCTAACTGAGCTTTCACTGGATGGGGCAGTTACAACTTATGGCAGAGCTGGCCACACCATATAACCTTCGGATCATCACCTCCATTGCCCACCTTTGCCCCCACCACCGCATACAGCCCCAGCCTCCTTTGGCTACCCCTTGTTCTTGGTTACATAGTTCTAGCACACCGAAACAAATTGGAGGTAGAAGCATACCTCTCCTTCCCAAGGTGAGGATTCTTAGTCATTATTTTGATGATTCTGTCCACCCACCAATAAGGCTGGGGATGGGGGTAGGGGGTGGGAAAGACGAGCATGAAAGGTGAGTGGATGAACTATAAATGGAAGAAAATGAAGGGGAGCAATGCCAGTTTTCACAGCACCACAGACAATAAAAATAGCACTTTTAATTCGTTCAGTGAAGAGAGATTCTCAACCCAAGATGCCTAGACAGGCTTCAGGAGTCTGTGAGCTCCATAAGGTGTTTGCAATGTTTTAGGTTTTATGCATTTATCTGAGAAGATACTCTATAGCTTTCATCATGTTTTTCAGAGTCATCTATGTCTAAAAATTGATCAAGGTATCAATGACTTTACAGAAGTGCAGAGAAGAGGTTCCTTCCTGCTTTTTCTTTGCAAGTCCCTCCACAAAGCCAGCATCTCAGGCTTAGGTGCGGAGAAGGCAATGGCAACCCACTCCAGTACTCTTGCCTGGAAAATCCCATGGATGGAGGAGCCTGGTAGGCTGCAGTCCATGGTGTTGCACAGAGTCAGACAGGACTGAAGCAACTTAGCAGCAGCAGCAGCAGCAGGCTCAGGTGAACAGAGGCTCCGGCTCTCCAGAACAAAGGTGTGATCAGCCTTGCTGATCAGAATCATCCTGGCCAACCATGTTTGGTATGTTCAATCCCTGGGAAATATCTTCTTTATTTAAAGAGCATCTTGTGATGGCCATGCCTTAACTCAAGGGATAACTCACTGATCACAGGCATCATGATATCTTAAAACTAAAGAAAACAGGAAATTCCCTAGCAGTCCAGTTGTTAAGACTTGGTGCTTTCAGTGCCATGCGCCCATGTTCAATCCCTGGTGGGGGAACTAAAATCCCACAAGCTGCATGGTGCAGCCAAAAACAAACAAAAAACCCAACCAAACAAACAAAAAATAATGAAAATACACAGCAAAAATAATCATATCATCCTAACATGACACACTAGTATTTGTATGTTCTTCCACTTTTCATATTTTTTACATGATGTACTTTGTCACTGTAAGTTTGAAGGTGAAGTAAAAATGTATAGCTAAAATAGAGAATTATATTTTACTTTAAAAAATAAGATTATGTTTATTAAGTAGAACACACTTGCCTAATTTGA